GGCTTATCCTGATTTTTCCAAAAAATTTACATTGACAACTGATTGTAGCAATATAGCCCTATCAGGAGTTCTTAGTCAAAATGATAAGCCTATTGCTTTCCACTCTCGAACATTAAATTCTGCTGAACGCAATTACAGCGTTATTGAAAAAGAACTATTGGCAATAGTTGATTCTTGTAAAAAATTCCGTCCTTATTTATTTGGTCAAAATTTTCTAATCGAATGTGATCACAAGCCCCTAGTTTGGTTGAGTTCTTTATCAGTGCCCAATCAGCGATTGATTAGATGGAAGCTTCAGTTAGAAGAATATAATTTTTCAATTAAATATAAAAAAGGCAAAGACAATGTTGTAGCCGATGCGCTCAGTAGAATTGAAATTAACGCTTTAGAGGATGACGATCTTTTATCCATTTTACCACAAGTAGATTCTGTAGAAGAATTAACAACCCAAGAACTTGATGAAATCTTGAATGAAGATAATTTACCTTTAATTGATTTATTAGATGAAATGCCGTTAGATGAACGACTCAAAATTGTTGAGCAATCTGATGTTACTCGACATTCATCTGCACAAAATCCTATCAATCATATATTGTATCAAGAAAAGAATTTTTATTTTTTCAAAAATCGAATACATTTTCAGTTAAAAAATCAGTACAAAATAACAAAGTCTTGCAATGGAACTTTAATGGTAACAGTCCGAAGTGGATCTGAAACAGAGCAACTTTTGAAATTCATGAAGGAATATCTTCAGCCCGATCATACTTATGGTATTTGGTATGAAAATCAACTTTTAGAATTTAAACTTAACGAACTTTTAGAACAGTATTTTTCGAACAGCGGTATAAGATTTGTTAAAGCTTCTTATAAGCCTATATACCTACTAAAAGACTCATTTACAGAACAATTGTCTTTCTATCATAGCCAAACGCATAATGGTATCAATGAAACTTACAGCCATTTCAAGAAAAAAGCATTCACTCCAAATATGAAAAAAATAATATCAAATTACATTAATCAGTGCAATACTTGTTTGACATCAAAATACGAAAGACGACCAATCGAACTCCCTATGGAAGGACCTCTAATAGCCAAAAGACCATTTGAACATATATTTCTAGATATTTTTCAAGTCGAACAACAAATATTTTTAACATTTGTTGATTTATTTAGTAAATATGCCCAGGCCTACAATTTAAAATCAAAATTATCTAACGAAATATTAAACAAAATCAGACACTTCTTTTCCCATCACAATTATCCTGACAAAATAACTTTTGATCCTGGTGAACTTAACACAAAAGTTATAAAAGAATTCTGTAATATGCACAAAATTGAATGTCATGTTACTAGTGTAGGTAACCCCTCATCATTATCACCTCTTGAAAGATTTCATAGTACCTTGAAAGAAAAACTCAAAATTTTACGTCAGCAAAATAAAATCGATTCGATTATTGATCTAATGACGACAGCTATCTTAATTTATAACCAAAGTGTCCATTCTACGACCACATATACCCCATTTTCATTATTATACGGTCCTTACGACGATTTGAATAAACATTTGATCGATACCCCCACAAAATTATATGATGAATATAACGAGAAACGGTACAGAGAATTACTACCTTTTTATGAAGAACTATCGAACCGTGTACTAGATAAGGCAACGGAAAGACTAGAAAAAATTAATCAAAATCGAAATAAGGAAATTCCAACCTTAGAAGGTCCAGTATATCTTAAATCTGCATTAGATCGTTCACATAAAACAAAACCCCTGTATTCTAAAGAGACCTCTTACGAACAAGAAAATGTCCATATTAATTTGCGCACTAAAGGAAAAAAGCATAGACTGAATAGAGTGAAACCGCAACGCAAAATTTCTAACTTTCAGGATCCTAATCCAGGCCCTTCAACTAGCCGGCCTAGAGATCCAGCTGATCGAGAATAAAGCACCATATTTTAAGCAAGAGCTAGGTAACGCCTATCTACTAAAAGCGTACCATAAGACATTTTTTCATATAAATCTCACTCTCATTAATGAAAATATCAAGCAAATAACGTCAAATGTCTATTTTGCAAAGCAAAGAATAGATGATACGTTGATAACACAACTTGAACATGAATACAATTTGCTTTTAGACAAACATGAAATGTTAAAATTTAAACGAGTTAAGCGTGGATTATTTAATGGTCTTGGTTCCGTCATAAAATATATTTCAGGCAATTTAGATCAATCTGATCTAGACGAAATAATGGAAAATATGAAAATTCTGAAGGAAAATCAAGATAATTTATCATTACAAAATTCCCGAACCGTCTCTGTAGCAAAACAATTACAAGACAGGTTTGAAAATAACACTTTAATTATAAAGAAAAATTTGAGAGATAATTTGGATAACCTCAACAAATTGCATAGCGAATACGCTAATTCTCAGTATGTCTTGAATGAGATAATAATTATTCAAAGATTTTCTAATTATTTATCACACTTACTGTTAACCATTAACCTGAGCACAAATCAGGGCATAAATCTCTTACAGCTGAGTAAGACTGAAATTAATTATATCCATTCGTTATTAAGTGATCTATTTGACAAAAATGAACTTCTCCCACTTGATAAACTGCACAATTTTGAATTTTTCGAATTATGTGAATTAAGTATTATAGTCCTCGAAGAAGAAATCATATTTGTTCTTCACATACCAACAGTTACTGGTAACTTTATATATTCCAATATATACCCCATTATACACCAAAATAATATTCTGGTATTGAAACATAAAAATATTATCGAAAATGAAACTATACATTTTTGTGATGAATGCAAATTATTGAGTAATAAATATTTTTACTGTACTATACTAATCCATTCCAGTTGTAACTTACTTAAAGTTGAAAATTGTACATTCTTGGCAAAAGGTTCATTTTCAGAAGTAATTCAATTAAAACATGATAACTATTTAGTGAATACTAACAAGAATATTCCAGTATATGAAGATTGTACCAAAGAAAGAAAAGAAATTGATTCCTCTTTTATTATCAGCTTAAACTGTAAAACATTTATTGATCATACTGAGTATTTGAAGATTTCTGATATTTCGAAACCTTTATACATACCTAACATTATGGTGAACTATGATAAGAATATGTTATTTGAAAATACTGATGTAAAGGGTTATTCGGATATACAATTGAATAATGTTTTATTACACGATAAATTAAAAAATTTAGATTTTTCACACAAAACGTCCACGTTTAGCATTGTAACTATTTTATGTATTTTAACATTTATTGTAATTATACTTTGTTTAAAAAAACAATTGCTCTCTCTTTTGAAGCAAAAAGAACCAAAAAATCAATCAGTCAAAAATGACATTGAACTTAACCAGATTTTTCCTTTGAACCAGGAGGTTCAATCTTCTTGAAGAGGGAGGAATTACGGCACTGCTATGATGATGATCTAATATGTAGAGTTGCTTAGGTTTGCACTTTTCAATTCCTTTGTTCTAGCGTAGGTTATAAGTAAGAGATGCATGTAAACCAAGGTGACCAGTACTCATTCGTCTTCTGTTAAATAAAGTCGCTTTTTTAAAAAGTCGTTCGTTGTTTGCACATTCTTAATTTGCGTGAGGCTGCGGTCAGAGTAGCACCGTTTTTGGTCGAATAATTTTTCGGCCGTGTATGCCCGAATTTTTCGGACATCGGACGAAATCAAAATAATTTATTTTTTTTTGGAAGCTTCGGTGCATTTTGATGCAAATAATTACATAAAAATTGTTGACTGTGAAATTTTAATTAGCCTAGTTTTTGCAAAAAAGAGCTTGTGGGATATAAGAAATAAAAACTACCACAATAGAGACATAATTCGCAAACTGTGGAATCAAATTGCCTCGGAAATGCAAACTACAAGTGAGTATTTGATATATTCTTAATATAAACAGTTTGAAATAAAAAATAGTGTACAAGAATATTATTAATTATTACTACGGCACATAGCTCCTACAGCGTCAAAATATTGTTTAAATGTGTCGCGTATTTCATATGCTGCCCTTGTAGCAGGGCTAAAGCGTCTTGATCCTCTGTTTTCATTGATTCATCTTTAACAGAAGTGCTCATTTCTAAAAATGTTGAATCCGGTATTCGTTCCTTGTCAATTACAATATTGTGCAATAAGCAAACGAATTTTACTATCACATCTACGTGATCTGGGTGAAGTTGTAATTTTGTTTTAAGGCTGCTCTATTTGCTGACTGAAATTCCAAAAGCACATCCCACAGTACGTCTAGCTCTGTTAAGTAGATAATTGACGATTTCCTGTTCGGGATTAATGCCGTCATGAGAAGGGCATGGTCGCATTAGATATGTTTTCAGAGGATAACCTTGATCACCTAGTAACACACAAGGTGCTGTAAGGTTAGTATGCGGCAATACCTTGCGGCAAATTCAATGAATTGGTTTCCAAACGGTGATACACATCGGTCTCAGAAAATAATCCACTATCACTTGGACTTCCACAACATCCTACATCTATCGCAATAAACTTATAATGAGCATCAGCAATCCCTTGAAGGTGAATGGAAAGATACTTTTTGTAGTTATAAAACTGTGACCCGGATTTTTGTGGACACTTTATTCTTATGTGCTCTCCATCAATACTACCAACACAGTGTAGAAAATTCCAGAAATGTTCCAACTCGTTTGTAATTTTATAAAAATTATCCATTGTTAGCACTGGCATGTGGTTTAAATGAAACATACTCCATATAGCTTCGCATGTGTCGTAATTCGCTATGGTATTATGTGCCATTCTAAACGAAAAGACTATTGATCGACAGAAACTTAAAAAAAATATATTAAATACTTTATCTTTTTATAATTAATTATTTACCATTTTTTGTAATTCGTATGCTCTCAATTTCAGAGTGCTTTGACTAACAAAAAAGACAGATTTCTTAAAACTTTCAACGAGCGAACTAACTAATTTATGTTACTTTTAGGTGAGGCCGTCAAAAATATGTGGCAAAATCTTCGAGATACCTATCGCAGGGAATATATGAACATTTTGTCAACCGTTTCTAACGCAGAAGTTCCTGTTTCTGAGCTATGATCGCTCTTAAATAATACTTTAGCACCAAGGAGAGTCGTGAGTAACGTTTCTCAAACACAAACAAAGGTATACTCTAAATCTCCAACAACACAAGATGAAATTTCCAATTCTGAATCCGATTCAAATATAGAATATGAGGACGTTTCCCAAGTAGAATCTGATAGAACATCACGTTCTCATACAACAACAAAACATGTTGGGACTGCATCTAATACTACAGAAAAGGAGATATGTGCCACATCATTTGAAACGCCGAATAACTTCCAAAAAGAAAAGACGACTTCAGAAAGATTCAATAGGTCAACTAACTGAAATTGAAAGGAAAAAAATTGCCCACTTGGAAGGAATCGCTTCCCAGCAGAGCACAAACATTCAAAAAGACGAGGACTATTTTTTTCTAATGAATTTGCTACCGCATTTATGCCTCACTCCAGAAAATCGCAAGCTACAAACTCGTATTAAAATGCAGCAATTGGTAATAGAAGAACAAGAAGTATGCAGTCGGAGATCAGTCGGCCTGTCTACTTGCCTTCCTCCAGCTCCATCGCCTACAAGAAGATGGACACAAGAAGCCAATAGTCACGATTCACTTTTAGTACCAAAAGCATCCACACAAGATCATCAAACTTACCAAGAACTACACACAATGGGAACTAATAATTAATATACCTTTTCTTCTTTAAATGAATTTGTACGCTTCCTTCAAGATAAGTAAATACTATTTAGTTTCCATTTTTATCATGTACATGTTCCTGTAGTCTTGCCGCAAATACAAATGGACGAAGAGATCTTCTAGAAAATTCGTACCGCCATTCAACACGTTAACTGTCCAAACATATTCTCTGGATTCCAGCAACACGTGCATTATGCCAGACATATATTTTTTTAATATACCATGTATAACATGTTACCAACTATGTCTTATAGACAAAATCTCATCACTCCATCTTCCATGTTCACATATGACTCATGGACGTATAAGCTGGAATAATATACATATGTTTCACGTCCATGAATCATATGTGAACATAAGTCCGTTGACACCCGAGCAAATGATTCCTTTTAGAGGAAGGTTAAAATTTATACAATGCAACCCCTCAAAATGTAGCGAATATGGTGTAAAGGTCTATCTTATGCACCACAAAGAGATTTACGTATTCCTTTTCTATTTATTGTGGAGGTAATCTCAAAATTTCCATGTTGATGAGCCTGGATCTGTGGTCATAACTCATAATTTTTACACCAGTATTCCTTTAGCTAAATATTTGCTTGATCGTTCCACAAATCTTTGTGGGAGTACGGAAAAATTGAAAGGGACTTCCATAAGTAGTTGTTAAGACCAATTTAAAAAAAGGAGACACAATCTCCAGACAACGAGACCACATCACAATTTTGAAGTGACACGATATGCGTGATGTTTGCATTTTGCGAACTTGCCATGAGAATGATATTGCACATATAGGGAGAAAAAGTAAAGAAAGGGCTGCTGTAACTAAACCGAAAGCGATTTAATATTACAACTCAGGAAAGCAGAAAATTGATGTATCGGATCAGCTAAGTCGCTACTACTCACCAGTCCGTGAGTCCGTGATTTGGTACAAAAAGGTGGCAATAGAGTTAATATTTGGCACCGTTGTAATTAATGCTTGATTATTATACGACAAAATATCTACGGAAAAAAGGCTCTATTGCTTTTTACAGAAGAAATAGTTGAAGAACTTCTTGAAGTAGCTAAAAGAACAACCCAGATTGAACCATCCACTTCTGTTGAAATGTCAAAAATACCAAGAAAGGATGACGGTCAAATTATAAGAAAAAGATGCCATGAATGCTAGAGGAAAAACCAACACGAAAATGAATCCCAGTAGATACTTATTCAAAAATAAAAACCAGAACACTAACCATTTTTATGTTGTATTTTCGGAATTATATTCGTTTTTTTTTTCTAAAACCTTTAATAAAGTCGTTTTTAATAAATAAAAGACTTTTTTGAATTATTTTTACGAACATAAAAAATACGTCTTCGAATCATATATGATGCATGCTGGAAAAAAATTAAAGTTAAATATCTTCTTAATATACTAGGTGACATATAAATCCGAACACCCAGTTTAAATGGTTTTATTTTAATAAAAGTTGGTGAATGTATTTATCTTACTGTAAATAACAAGTGAAAAAATTTTCAGCCTTATCAGTTGGACATTCCGGTTCTTATACTGTTTTTTTTTAATTCACTAACGCTCTAAAAATGAATATTTCAGCCGCAGTAAAGAATCAACGTTGGCGGATTTTGGTTCTTGACATCCTTTACGATCGGTTACGATGCCTAGAGTACGGAGACCTGTACGATTTCGTCAACTTAGTGAGTTTGATAGGGGCCGTATAGTGGGACTTCGGGAAGCTGGACCTTCTTTTCGGGCAGTTGCAGTTAGAGTGCAAAGAAGTGTAGACACTGTGGTTAGGTGTTGTCAGGCATGGCTTCGAGAAGGCCGTACGCAAAGAGCAAGGGGCACTGGACGCCGCCGTAGAACAACAGACCGTGAAGATCGCCGCCTAAGATTATTGGCCTTAAGGGACCGTTTCTCCACTACCAGGTCCATTGCAAATGAATGGTTTGCAGAACACGGAAGACCTATTGGCATGCGAAGTGTTTACCGACGAATGAGAAGTTTTGGCTTGTTTTCATACCGGCCACACTGGGTCCTCCCTTTAACTCGATAACACCGACGTAATCGCCTTGAGTGGTGCAGACAACGGTCACTCTGGGATCAGGAATGGAACAGTATTGTCTTTAGTGACGAGTCTCGATTTTGTTTAGGCATGCACGATGGTCGTGCCAGGGTTAGAAGGCGACGTGGTGAAAGGAGGAATCCACAGTTTGTTGTTGAAAGACATGTTCATCACACTGTTGGAGTTATGGTTTGGGGTGCTATAGCTTATGGTTCCAGGTCGCCTTTAATCTTCATCAGAGGTAACATGAACGCGCAGCGTTATATCCACGAAGTTCTAGAACCCCATCTTTTACCCTATCTTGACACCCTGGCAGATCCAACTTTCCAACAAGATAATGCCCGACTACATGTTGCCAGAGTCACAATAGACTTCTTTCAACATAATGATGTCACATTGTTACCATGGCCACCAAGATCTCCCGACTTATCCCCAATTGAGCACGTGTGGGATATGAAGGGTAGAAGATTGCTCAATTTGCAACGTCTTCCTCAGACTCTAGAAGCACTTCGAGAGGAGTTGGTGGTTGCCTGGAATGAGATACCACAGGAGGACATTGACCACCTCATCAGAAGCATGCCTAGGCGCGTTGGAGAATGCGTAGCACATCAGGGTGCATCCACACATTATTAAAGGTCAAAGGGCTTTAAAGCAGTGCAATCATTTTGAAATTTTTATCATTTACTTATTATGCTTCATTAAGTACTTATACAAAATTTTATTAAAATAAAACCATTTAAACTGAGTGTTCGGATTTATATGTCACTTAGTATACTTCCATGCTATCATCAGCTGCTTAAATATCACGTCCAATTTTTAACATATGATAAGGCACAGCAAGTACAATGCATCACATATGATTCAAGGGCGTGTAGACAAATGTGTCTAATGAATCACATATGATCCATGGCCAACAACGTTGATCGCGACGTCGTCTTGTGTGGGTGTTACTTATGCACAGAGAACAACTTACTGAATTTCAATACCTTTTTGAGGATTTAAAATTACAACCCATCAAGTTCTTCGAATCTTTTAGGATGTGTTACAATACATTTCAGTATATTGGTGTCTTAAGTTGTTCCATTTTTTTTACCTTTGCTATCGCTATATCGATTTACATACATCTTCAGCCCATAGCCGTTTTCCAACATCTCGATTATTGTAACTTTGAGTTTTTGTCCCACAGCGGCGGTCTATTATAGACATAACCAATTAATGTTTCAATATCCATTGAACGGCCGATGACGGTTGTGGTGGTCTCTTCATTTTACACAAGTTCGATTTTATCGGCGGATAACGGCCAAGCATAGTTCAAATACCAGTGCCGCGACCCTTTGATACCGCTCGCCATTGAAGTGAAGTTCTCGAAGGTGTGATCATGTTGCGCTTTTTGATAAGTGATTCAGAAATATCAGTTTCAGAATGACAGCTTGTGAAATATTTTCCATCACTAACTTTGACATAACCATGACGGAAAAACCCAAAGATAAATTTGGCACTTTTCTCCTTCGTACCGCCTGGAGTTTTTGAAATATTTTCAATAATTAGGTAGATTGTTTGCATCCATTGTTCAATGATGGTACACTCTATTGTTTCTTAAAAAAACGTGTATATTTATTGGTAATGCTCCATTTTTTTGGCCGCTAAAAGAAACCACATATGCCTGAAATACTGTCTACTGACGACGTCACCACGGTGGCCATTTTCAACTACAAATTAGAATTCTGATAATATATTTCGTTTATCTGTCTGCTATGTGGCAGTTCGTTTGTTTTTTCCTTCATCTTCACTGTGTTACAACAGGCGAAACGGTTCTGGAACCTGCTGAGATTGCGCAAAATCGTGATTGCAAAGCCCAGTGCCGGCTGCGCCTGGGGTAGGCATTCCCACTCCCAAACGGACGTCCAGCCTTCCAGCATGATGCTATCTGCTGTTTTTTCAATGTACTCGATACGACACCCTCGTCTATCAGTCCGAAAACGCCAAAAGTCTCCCGAAAACACTTAAACCCATCAAGAACTGTTGTCAATTGTTATGCAATCTTCGACTACAAATCCTGCATGTGCATTGTTTATGGATCTGAAATGCCAGAAATAGTACTTTGACAACTGAAGGAAACCACGTAATTTTTTTTGTAAGGGAATAATATAAGACACAAAAGCAGTAAACAATTCTAAAAATGTCACCGTGTCGCCGAAACATCATCAGTAGGATTATCAGGTATGCAAACCACATGATAAGTTATATATTCATTGGTTCCTCTAGGAGGTGGGGCTGTCGCCGCATGGCGCGCACAAATCGGAATTTAAGACGTGCAGCCGTAAATTATTCAACTGGCGTGCTTAAAGCTTATTGGCATTTTAACTCTCCTGATTGGAGCATAGTATTAATGAAATCAGAAGCTTCCCAATAATACAACGTCTTTCACAGATGCCAAAGATGCAATATTTACAACTTTTCACAATACCCGCTTAAATCTTTCTGAAAATGGTCAAGACCTTCTGAAATGTCTAGAAGCGATTTTTACTTCTTTGTTTTTTGCCTAAAGCTATGCCACCACTGAATTAATTTTCCAAAAACTACAAAGCTATTTCGAGCTTGGCATGGTGGTAAGCCTTTGTCAAAATTTCATTAGTATTTGACCAGAGGGGTTATTACGAAAAACAAAACGTATATAATGACAAAAAACTAACACAATGTCAACTTGTTGACTAAGTACGAGCCCCTTTCCATTTCAGTTGGCCCAACTATTGAAATCTTAGTTTTTTTTCTTATCAAACACAAATAATAAAAATGTAGCAGGGTGTTATAGATTTAAAATATTAAGAACGAATATTTTGATATATAGTAGAAAACACCAACTTTATCACTCCCTAATCAAATTTGCAGCATAAAAATAACACATGTTGCAATTACAGCATATCAACCTATTTTCATTTCAATGCAAAATAAGTGGCTGTGAAATATAAAAGCCATGACAATTGTTTTTATTAATCACAGCTGTCAGAATACGTCTGAAATAGTTTTGGGTAGTTATGGTTTTCAAAATGGGTAGAGGAAAGGTTATTAATAAGAAAATTCGATTACTGATAATTAATTTTTTTAATTCTGGGAAATCAAAC